CACACACACCTCATCGTCCCCGTGTGTGTACATTAGGTAGGGTGGGTTGAGCTCCAGCTCCAGGCCACCATGGATGGTCTCCATGTAGTTGTCTGGCAGCATGGGGGGGTAGTGTGGGGGTATATGTGTGCTGAACATCAGAGAGGGTACGCGTATCAGCGGACGTGTGCGTGACTCAAAGCACACGCGCACGTGTGTGTGAGTGTGTGTGTGTGTGTGTGTGTGTGCGCGCGCGCGCGCGCGGACGAGTATGTGAGACTACACGGGTGGGGTGCAGTGCGGCGGGTAGACATGAGCTCAGAGGGCACATGGCTGCAGCACGCGTCCCAACGACGCTGCTGCGATGCTGCTGCGACGCTGCTGCGACACACACGGCACGGTTGAGCAAAGGGCGCGGGCCCGTCGCGGCCGCGGTGTGCATGCCCCTCCTCCCTTCCCGCCGTCCCTCAATCGCCACGTGCCACAAGGAAAGAGGGCAATTGCGGAGGCGGTCAAATGGGCCGGTCAAGTGTATTCATCGCACCTGTCGTGAGCTTGTTGAGCACGACCATCTTGAACCGCGGCGCCCCCTTGCGCTTTATCAGGAACATCGACCCCTCTATGTTCTTTCGTTGCTGCGGGGCGCAAGGCAGGGGGAGGGCAGGTCGGCACGTGCAGCAGGTCGGCACGTGCAGCGGCCGCCGTGCTGCTGCGATGGGCCATGGCCCCGGGTGCCGTGGCGCTGGGCGCGGGGACGCCTGCAGGCTGCTCATTTCGGTGCTAGTGGCAGTGCTCGGGGTCGGCGCCGGGTGCCGTCGCTGTCATGTTGCTGCGCCTGGGCTGTGTCTGGAGCTCACCCACTGCTGGTCGTCGACTGACATCTTGTACAGGCAGACTTGCCCTGCAGATGCCAGGATCTGCTCGCAGGCGGCGAGACGGATGTGCGTCCGTCGCGTGTTGCTCAGGGGGAGGGGTGGGGCCGGAGTGGGCCGGCAGACGGCGGCGCCGCTTCAAGGCGTGGTGTGACCCCACGTGGTGGTCCGCTGGTTCCAGGACTGCGGGATCAGAAATTTGGGGGATATGCACCCTCCCCTGCTGTGCCCTTGTCACCTGCTCTGTCTCGGGGTCGATCCGCTTCAACACAGTCATGTTGAGCTCGTGCGCCTTGGTCTTATCCACCAGACCCCCTGACTTCGAACCGCCTTTCTTTGCGGAGGACATCCTGCCCGTCTAGCCTCTACAGCGCGTGATCTGATCTAGGTGCAAGCCACAGCTTGTGTTGGGGTAAGGGCTACCAACAATCTCATTGTATACTTCGCGTATATCCTCTTCATGCAGGCACAGCAGGCCACGTCGTGCGCTTGCTGGTTTGGCCCCTTCAGGCTCCGCGTGAAGCTGCCGAGCGGAGCACACACCATGATTTTTTCTGCTTGCTCGCGGTGAAGACGCATACCGTACCAGCATGCATTGATGAGTTATGTTATTAAACTACTGATTTATTTACGCAGCACGCAGCCATGAGCGTGAGTTGCGGCGGACCTTTGGTCAACATTGCAGTGCAGCTTTGCAGCTCACAGCACCTGACGCCACCCCCGCAACGCCTCTGGTGCATGCACGCGCACAGGCACCAAGCTACGGGCCGCCTACAGCGGCGCAGCTGAGCCTGCAGCGGTGAGCAGTGTGCACTGCGCTGCACGTGTCAGCAAGGAGCATCACACCTCGCGGCTCCCGCCGCGCATCCGTCGACCGCACGCCATTGCACGCCTGCACAGCAAGCGTGCGGGGCCGGCGACCATGAACCACATGTTTCCAAGGGCGCCAACTGGCGTAAGCGAAAGCGTATGGCACCCTTCGCCCTCCTGCAGGCGGCGACGCTTGGAGCAGACGGACCATACAGCCTGGGAGCACAGGGCACGGCTGCATCACATGGCACGCCACATCTGCGAGCTTGGAGCGGTGCGGCCGGCGGCGCGGGGTGCACAAAGCGCAGCCGCATCGCGACGGCAGCAAGCGCTCCGGCAGAGCTACGCAGCCGGGTCGTCATCAGACGGCTCGCAGGACCCTTGGCTGTCGTCAACAGAGCGGTCAAGCGGCGGGCGGGGCGGTGGGCGGCCGCGCACGGCGCCCGCGAGGGCTGAGGGGAGCACGGCCGACGGCCTGAGGCGCTCAGCAGAGTGGGCGTGGGCTGTACGTGGCGCGGCCGCGGCCGCAGCTGCGGCGCGGGGGACGGAGGAAGCCGGACGTGCGGAGTGGATGCAGCTGAAGCAGCGGCGGTACCCCGAGCTTCACCCCCCTGTCCAGCCGATTGAGCTTCCGCAATCCAGGTGAGCCGGGGCGCGATGCGATGCGGTCTGCACAAATCGATAACATTGCATCTTTTTATGATAGCTCGCACTCCATGCGGACGTCCGCCCTTGCTGACGTGCTTGTTCTGCGCACGCGACGCTCGCTGGTCGTGGTGCAATCGTCGCAGGTTCAACGGCAACGGCCCGCCGCTGCTGCCGAGTGTTCAGGCTCATCTTTACCGCCGGGCGCTGCTGACAGAGATCGTGGAGCGTCGGCTGTACAAGGCGCGCGCACCGCCGCGCGCCACCGCGCAACCCCGCCAGACGCGCAGTCGCGCGGCTGGGCCGACTGGTGAACTTGACTGCGGTCATGCTCGCGCCTCTGCCCCTTGCTGCCGCGCCACGCTGGTCCTGGTCATCGGCTCAGCATCGGTCTCTCTCGCGGCCGGGCACGCCCTCACACCTCTTGCGCGACGCCCGTCGCCGGCCGCTGCCCGCCCGACCGCAGCGCGCGGACCTGAACGCGCTGTTCGCCGCCACCACCGCCGCCGCGCCGCTGGCCCACCGGGAGGTGCTGCGCAGCGTGGTGGCGGAGGTCTGCGAAACACTGCACATGCCACGGTAGGGATGAGGACGCGCACAGGCATGGCAGGTGCTGGGCACAGGCCTTGCCTGGCTGCAGGTGCTGGGGCCCTGCAGGATCGGGCTGCGTTGATGGAGGCCGCCCGTGAGCCATGTAACCCTGGCGTGAATACGTTAAAGGCCGGTACGTGCGGCAGGGGCACCGACCAAGGACTCTGGCAGGATGCACTTTGCGTCTCAGTTTTGTGTTACTAAGGGTGACTACATCAGGCCCTCTTACGGCGCAGCCGCCATGGGCCTCCGCTCCAGGAACGGCCGCCACTGCAGGAGCACCGGCCGCGCCCCGGGACAGAACAGCAGCGCGCCTAGGCGCGCGCCGCCCCGAGGCTGACGTAGCCGGCGCCCTCGTAGTCCGCCGCGAGCGGCGCCGCCACCGCGAGCGCGACCAGCGCCATAGCCAGCAGCGGCAGGGCCACCAGGTACTTCAGCAGCTTGTGGAAGTGCACGTGGAAGGACAGCGCGAACTCGTCCTGGAAGTGCAGTCCGTTGGCGTCCACCAGGTCGACCCGGACTGTCGCGGTGGTCCGGGACTTTGGGCAGGGCAGCTCCAGGATGTGGACGCCGGGGGCGGCGAACGCGTCCGCGACGCCGATAATAGGTGCGTCGCCCGCGTTCATGTCGGCGACGCCAACGCCGCGCAGCACGACGGTCAGGTTGTAGGGGCCGCCGCGGGAGGCGTTGGCGACACGGCCGTCGGGAGCGAGGGCGGCGCGGCGGTCGAGGATCTCGACGGCGACCTTTGGCCGGGGGGGGGGGGCGTGGCACTCCTCAGGGGTGGGGTCGGGTGTTTCAGGCTTCAGAGTGTCGCACCAGCAGATTGAAAAGGCCACGAGGTTGCTTTCTGAAGAGCACATCGGCGAAGGTGTCCAAAGCGAGTGACTGAGGGGAGGGGGGACTGGCGTTGGAATGGAGACGGGTGGCTGGGGCCTTGATGTGGGGTGGGTGGCGGGGACAGCAGCGCAGAGGCCGGCGGTGAGGCGCGGCCGAGCCCACCCTGAGTGACTGGCCGGCCACGTCGCGCGCCACGCGGCTCTGGAGGGTAGCGAATGCCCCAAAGTAGTTGGAGCGCGCCACCAGCCCGTTGGTGGCCTGGACCTGCGGGGTGGCGCGGGATGAGACCGCACAGCAGGAGGGGTTAAGAGGAGGGGCGGTATCGCTGTCGCCGCGAGGGCGTGGCACCAGCCTTGAAAGCAAATCCGCCAGCAACTTGTGTGCGTGCCAGCTTTGACGCAGACCACGCCGGCCCTTTCGTCCCCCGCTGCACTGGGGCGCAGTGGGGCAGCTGCGCCGCCTCAGCACCCAATCGAGTAGTCCACCCTCCCTCGCCACACAACCCCTCGCCGTCCCAGCCCCCAAACGTGGCCCCGCTGCGTTCCCAATCGCCGCTCCAGCCTCGGTCCAAACCAACGCAGCCGCCGCCAGCCCCGCGCCCCCCCCCCCACCTGCGACGTCCATGTCTTGAGGGGATGGTACAACGCCGCCGTCCCCAGGGCGTAGATATTTCCATTCATGGTGGCCACCACCAGGTCCAGCATGCCGTCACCCCCCAGGTCGTCCACCAGCACGGCCGCATAGGACGCCTCCCCGATGTCCACGGTGTGGGCGCAGCCGGTGGCGCCGTCTATGAGGTAGAGGTAGCCGTCGAAGGACATGACGAGGGCGTGCTGGTGGGGGGGGCCGGGGGCGCCGCGGG